GGTCTTCAAAGGTAAGTAGTTATTCTTCCTTTGTTTCTGTGTGTGTGACTGCTGTGCTGGAGCTTGTTCTCTTTTGCTGTAGCCTGGGATTGTTCTGCTCTCCTATTATTGCTGTATTGTCCATTGCATTATAGCATTACAGCTCCTATTTCTTTTTCTTGCATCTGAGCTTTCTCTAAGTGATTTCCTGGTTCTTGACCTGTTACAAATGCTGTGTTCACTCAAATTTTTCTTCTTTCCCTTATTTCTACCAAAAGTAACCAGCAGCCCCGTTTTCTTCCTCTTATAACCCACTTCTCTTTTTCGTATGAAAACACTTTCAGCTCCTTTTCTTGACTATGACAGTTTTTCATGTAGTCACTGAAGAGAGTTCCAGGGTTTCGCATCTGAGGTCTTTCATTTCTAATACAAAATAAACAAATATAGAGGATGTTGAAAACCTATACTGCTAGCTTATCCACAAGAAGGATGAAGCCTTGAATGAGCCTTCATAGAGGTGCTTATGGCCAGTAAACAATGTATGTCCTCAAGAATGAATCCAGGCAGTTTCTTCCTGACATAGAAAGGAAGAAATCTGAATGTCTATGGTAACTGAGCTATCTGAATTGCCTTCATTAGTAGGCTCACTGGAGCACAGGGTAAATAATGTGAAACATACTAGATCTATATTCAAGGTGGATAATAAGTAATAATTCAGATTCCAGAAGTTTTGAATATCTGTAAAATCAAAAGAACTGATGATTGGAAAAAGTAATATATTTTTTTTTTTACCAGACTGAAACATTTCCACATACGTTTCATGGGTAAATACTAGCTTATTATTAACTCCAGAATATCAATATAAGCATACTCAGAGTGACATTTCTATGCCTCTGATAACACTGAGGTGGAATGTAAATATTTCAGCAGTCCAAGCGAAAGCAGTAGAAAATCATAGGCAAGTAACACCTCACCATTCATACTTGCTTCCTGGGTAATCTAAGGAATTTCTTCGGCTCTTTCTTCCCTGCTGAAATGAGACTGGACAGGGGTCATTATTACTTTAGTGGCAAATTAATAAGAAACTATATAGAAAACATCAAAAGCATTTGGTATTTATACCAGTCTGTAATAGAACTGAATGGTGGCCCTTCTCTTAAAGGGGATAAATGCTTCAATAACGCTTAATGTTCATTTTGCAGTCATTCTTCTGGAATAGCAGGAACTCAGAAATTCAGAGTTCATTTGCTACAGCACAGAGGAGAAATACGTTTGGTTAAGAGAAGCATTTTCTTCTGAGACTGCACTGGCCCAGAACACTTGGTGACAAGTTACTATGATGTTCACATTGGCTTTCTCAGAATCTAAAGTGTCTGACAGTTTTAATTCCATTAATAGTGGACTTAGCTGCTGTGGGAATTTCTTATTCTTAATACAATTTTTTTTTTTTTTTTTTCTGCTTTGAGACGTATAGAAAGACTCAGTTTAAGTTATAAGCAATACAATAATTCATATTGCTTACACTCTCTGGGAACTTTACTTGCAATTTCATAGTTACTGTTCTTAAAATGAAGTCATTAAGAGAAACAAAGTGTGATAGAATGATTTCAGCTTGTTTAGCCTTGAGGAGCATTATAAAATATAAAGCAAGGAGAAAGTTAGTGAATCCAGTGCTGCATAGAAGATCATAAGCATACCCCTGCCTGTGAAGCTTTCCTATACAATTTTTTTGTGATTCTAGTGCAGAAAAGATAGGTTTTATTCTCAAAATACTAAGAGCTGCTACTAGATTTTAATTCTGTTAACTGCCCAGTATTTACACTCCATAAAAACAGAAGGAAGATATGACTTCAGAAGATCATCTGTTAGTGCCCCATCTTCTGCCTTTTTTTTTTTTTTCTGACTCTGTGTCTTGAGTGCAGAGTAACTCAATTTAGCTGATTACTAACTTTTGTTAATGACACTTCTTGTTTAAGTGCCTGCAGCTTGTCACTGGTCTTATCTGATAAGATAAATTAAACACATCCTTTAAAATATTTTAAGATATAATTTCCTCAATTAATAGTTATATTTACAATGCCTATTAAGCCCTGTGCACAAACCTACCCTGAAACTCACTACAGCTACCTGTGGAAGAAATGAATGGAAAAAGATTAAATACATTATTAAATACAAACCTGAGGATATTGTTCAGTGAGGTACACTTACACACACACTCAACATTTTAGATGTTTATTTTAGAAGAGTTTTTTTTAGAAAACTGTGATATTTATGATGGTTCAATGGTACACTTTTGACAATGCTGTGATTAGTACTGTTTTAAAACATGGTGAAAACTGTCATAGCTACTGGCATTGAATTCCTCAGCCTTTTATTTAGGAAAGAAAGTCAGTAGCCTGTGTGGAATTTGCATGGTAGGAAAGAAGAAAGTAATATAAAGAGATCTGCAGCTGAAAAGCAAAAAATCTGCTTTTGATTTATGATTTAAAAGAAATTACTCTGCCTGTCAGTTTGGTTGATGTGATGAATTTTTTTTTTATTTTTTCTTTTAGGGAGCCTAGTATTATTCATAAGATATCTGCTAACTGGAGAACCGTTCAGAAACATGGCTGGTATAAGAAACAGTGTTGTCAGCAGGAGCAGGACAGCAATTGTCAGCCTTTACTTTGCTCTGGTGAGTCTGCAGCTGGAGTACTGTGTTTGGTTTTGGGCCCCTTACTGAAGAAAGACATTAAGGCCTCTGAGCATGTCCAGGGAAGGACAGTGAAGCTGGTGAAGGGTCTGGAGCACAGGCTTCAAGAGGAGAGGCAGAGGGAGCTGGGATTGTTTAGTCTGGAGAAGAGGAAGCTCAGGGGAGACCTCATTACCCTCTGCAACTACTTGAAAGGAGACTGTGGTGACAGGGGGGTTGGCCTCTTCTCCTGTATAACTAGTGGTAGGACTGGAGGGAATGGCCTCAAGTTGTACCAGGAGATGTTCAAGTTGGATGTCAAGGAAAAATTTATTCTCCAAAGGAGTGATTAGCTGCTGGCACAGGCTGTCCAGGGAGGTGGTAGAGTCATCATCCCTGAAAGTGCTCAAGGAACATCTAGATCCTGAGGGATAGGGAGGGTTGGGAGAGGGTCACTGCTCAATATTGTTGGTGAACCACCCCCAGGCTAGGTCTGCTCTTCACTCCCTGGGGTCCCCCTAAGTAGTAAGTTTGCAGCATTGGACACTGAAGGGGAGGTAAGCTTAGGGGAGCCTTCCCATGCCTCCCCTCAAGGTTACTAAGAGTGAGGCAGTCTACTCCATGTGTTGAGACTGCCTCTACCAGGAAAGAAATGGGGTGGTTGTAATAGGTGACATCCCTTCTCAGATGAATGGAAGGTCCCATTTGCAGACCAGACCCAAGCTGTAGGGAAGTGTACTGCCTTCTGGAGCTCAGGCCAGGGATGTAACTAGAAAACTCCTGAAACTGGTTCACTTCACTGATTACTTCCCATTACTCCTACTTCAGGTGGGCAGTGACAAAATTGCTCAGAGAAGCCTGTGAACTATGAAAAGACACTTCAGGGATTTGGGGTGAATAGTTCAAGAAGCAGGAGCCAAATGGTGTTTCCTTCTACACCTTCTGGGGCTGTGAAGGACACTGAGTTGGCTAGGAAAAGACAGGTAATAAATGATTGGCTCAGAGGCTGGTGTCAAGGCAAGAATTTGGGGGTTTTTGACTATGGGGAAGTTTACTTGGCCCCTGGCCTGTTGTCCATGGGAGAAAGTCACCCCTCTCAAAGGGGAGAAACAAATCCTAGTGCAGGAGCTAGCAGTGCTTATTGAGGGAACTTTAAACTAGCTATTATGGGGAAAGGGGACAAAACAGGGCTCACCAGAGAGAAGCCTAGGGGAGCAATGCTGGAGGTGAGGCAGATGTCTCAGATGAAGTGTATCTACACCAATGCATGCAGCATGGGCAACAAAGAGGAGGAGCTGGAAGTGATTGCGTGGCAGGCTAAGACCTAGTTGCTATTACTGAAACATGGTGGGACTACCCCGAGACTGGAGTGCTGTGATGGATGGCTACAGGTTCTTCAGAAGGGACATATGAGGAAAGAAGGGTGGTGGTGTGGCTCTTTATATTAAAGAGTGGTTTGATGTTGCAGAGCTTGGAGTTGGGAACGGTAAAGTTGATTGTCTATGGAGAAGGCTTGTAGGGGTGATGTCTTGGTGGGGGTCTGTTATGGACCAGGTAAGTGGGATAAGGAGACAGACAAGGCATTCTATGAGTAGTTTGCAGAAGCTGCAAAATTGCCAGTACTCATTCTCATGGGAGATTTCAACTTCCCTGATATAAGCTGGAAATATAATACAGTGCAGAGGAAGCAGTCGAGGAGGTGTCTAGTGTGTGGAAGATAGCTCCTTACACAGTTGGTATGAGAGCCTACCAGAGTGGTGCCCTGCTAGATCTGCTCTTCACTAACAGAAGGACTGGTGGGAGATGTGAAGGCTGAGGACTGCCTTGGGTAGAGTGACTATGAAATCATAGTGTTCTTGTATCAATTGGATGGATCAATATGATGGGAAAGGTATTACAACAAAGGTGTGATGATGGAAGGACCAGTTACAACAACCCTAGCCAACCCTACAGGCTTAGGGAGGAGTGGCTGGAAAGCTGCCTGATGGAAAGGGATCTTGATGTGCTGATGCACAGTCAGCTCTGAAGATAAGCCAGCAGTATACCCAGGTGGTGAAGAAGGCCAATGGCATCCTGACTTGTATTGAGAATGGTATGTTAAACAAGACTAGGGAAGTAACCCTCCTTCTGTGCTCAGCACTACTGAGGCCCCACCTTCAGTATTGTGTTCAGTTTTGGGCACCTCAGTATGGAAAGGGCATTGAGGTGCTGGAGCAGGTCCAAATAAGAGCAACAAGGTTTGTGAAAGGTTTGGAGAATATGTCCTTTGAGGAGAGACTGAAGGAACTGGGACTGTTTAGTCTGGTGAGGAGGAGGGTGAGGGGAGACCTTATTGCTCTCTTTAAATACCTGAAAGGTGTTAGCAGTGAGAGCAGGGTTGGTCTCTTCACACTGGTGACAGGATGAGGGGATACAGCCATAAGTAGCACCAGGAAAGTTTTAGGTTGGGTATTAAGAGAAACTTCTTTACAGTGGCAATCAGCCCTTAAATGAGGTCTAAGAGAGGTGGAGCCAGGCTCTACCCCTTCTGGTTGCATAGGTGAATTGCCTTCACCTGTGCTCTTGGGCTGTCTGGGTCTTTTTCCCAGGTGCTCAATCAGTGATTCAGGCTGTGACTCAACAGTTCCCATGCAGTTCTTTCATCTTGGTGATGTCAGAAGGCTGACTAGCAAAACTACTATCTTAAACTTCCAGAGGGTAGATGTTAACCTGTTCAGGATACTTGTTACAGGGATCCTTTGGGAGTTGCTCCTGAAGAGTAAAGGGGTCCAGGAAGCCTGGATGCTCCTCAAGACAATAATCTTAAAGGCACAAGAACAGGCTGTTTCTGAGTGCTGTAAGGTGAGCTGGAGAGGAAGAAGGTTGGTATGGATGAACCAGGAACTTTTGTTGAGACTCCAGGAGAAAAAGAGCCTACGTCCTCTGGAAGAAGGGACAGGCTACTTGGGGAGACTACAAAGAAGTTGCAAGACGTGCAGGGAGGAAGTTAGAAAGGCAAAAGTCTGGCTTGGACTCAGGTTGGCCATTGGCCACTGCACTGAAAGAGAACAAGAAATCCTTTTACAGATATATTAATGGTAAGAGAAGAACCAAGGAGAATTTCCATCCTTTATTTGATGCAGCAGGGAATGTGACCACTGTGGATAAGGAAAAGCTGAGGTTCTCAATGATTTTTTTACATCTTAATAGTTGGATCAATTAGCCTCAGTGCACTTCGCGCCCTGATCTGGAGATCTAGGATAGAATGCAGAATATGGTCCTGGTGATTCAGGAAGAGACAGTTAGCTGCTGGACTTTCACAAGATCATGGGACAGGACAGTCTCCACCTAGGGTGCTGATGGAGCTGGTGGAGGTGATTACTGAGCCACTTTCCACTGTCTATCAGTGTTCCAGGTTACCTGGAGAGGTCCCAGAGGATTGAGGGCTTGCTGATGAGACTCCCATCTACAAGAAGGGCTGTAAGGAGGATCTGGGGAACTACAGGCCTGTGTCAGTACCAGTTTACTGATGAGTTTGCTCAAATCAGGGTGGTGTGCACTAGACAGACAGAAGTTTGGTAAGACCTCAGAACTGAACCTATTATGAGCAGAAGATTGGACTAGAAACCTCCGGAGATCCCTTCCAATTGGAATTATCTTCTAGTCCTATGGTCAGGAGGAACAGAAAGCCAAGGCATGGAAAGGGAAAGGATGAGATCCACTTAGACCCAGAAGAAGAGTGTCCTCATTTCATGATGCTGCCTTATCTCTGCACTCTAAAAGAAAAAGTGCAGAAGTGGTAAGTAAGCTTACAAGACAATCTCCTTGCAAAATAAGTAACAACCCCAAACACTTCAGTACTGAGGAAGTCCCTGAAGCACAGGGAAATTCAGCAACAATCCCCACACTAGCAAAGAGGAAACGTGTAGAAGTAAAATCAAGCTATGGCTTTGCACTCCTGGAAGGTGCAAATAATCATTAGGAAAGTATTTCTTTGTCATGCATTTATGCATTAGCACTTTGAAGATGCCAAATCTATCCCATAAAAGAAACTGTAAAGGTTTCAAAAATGTAATTTATTTATAAAATACAGCTTTATCTTGATCTTAGGATCTTCCCGGAACTGAAGCGTTCCAGTTTTCCCTTAATTTCTCTCTCAGAGCTGTAGGAAGCCTATTGTGAATGAGAAAAGAGGTAGTTCCACCAAATACAGTCTATCAATGTGCCAGGGAGGGATATATGTCGAATATTACTGTATTAGACTTTCTGGATACATAGTTTCATGTTGATTTAGCCATTTAAAGTAAATGAGTGGAGAAATGAATAAGTAGAATCTCAGAGGTAAATGTTCCCTCTTATTAGCAGCTCTGCTGTCACCTCAGTGATGTAACAGAGGACATGCTACATCCTGTTAAAAAAAATATTTTCTACGGCCTGGTCTCAATGGCATAAGATAGAACATATTAAAAAAAAAAAAAAAAAAAAGGTGGGAAAAGCTAATGCCTCATCAGCTATGTGATACTAAGAACAATGTAGCTGGTAAGTCACCTGGGTATTTATAGCTATTTCTCCAGATAGAGGCAGTATTGGTAAACTCCACTAATAAAAAACAGTTTATTATAGTAAAAGAATTAACAAACTGATTTCATTTTAAATAGTGTCTTTGGTTCTAAAGGAACAGCGAGCTTACTATATGTATCCCAACTAGGTAAAAAAAAAAAAAAATCCCAAAAAGGTGTTCATGTTTTATGGCCTTCATCCTATTCATTCTGCTTACTTGTTATTTAATGGAAAGGGGTAAACCTGTATTTCCAGAAAACTTAAGACCACTCTGCATTTTTGTATTCCTCCTTATTGCAAGGTCTCTGCAGGGTCTGCATACAGTGCTGTAGGGTGACTCAATTTAGCTCCAGTCACTTATATGACATATTATGTCTCCTAATGTTTGTATTGTATTAGATCCTTACATATTAAGAGCTCCATTGTGCTAGATGTTGTGAAGAGGTTTTTCAGAGAACTCAGTCCATACTCCCAGCAAGCTATAGTCTAGGTCAGAGAGGACAAGGGAAAGCTTAGCTAGTCATTAGAACCAGTGAAGTTCACAAACACAAGAATAGAACTGAAACAACTTACAAATGCACCCAGGAAGCCTATGGAAGAATAAGGCACAAATAATCTCTGGGCTCAGTTCTGCTATTGCATAGGACAGATTTGGAAAAGTTTAGTTCTGTGCTTGGGTGATGAACCAACAGAAAGCAAAACAGTGGGTTACATTCCCTGAAGGTCAGACTCATCTGAGCTTTATAAATGGTTAGCTTTAGATCAGAATATTCTAGGTTATAACAAACTACTTACTAAAATAACTTGAGGAATCAGAGGATTATTGCATTGAATTGATTTTTATTTTTCCTTTAGTGAGTAGATCCATTTCAGACTGGTCTACTTAGTGAATACAGTGTTTTTGTGAGACTAGGTCTTAAAATTAAGCAGGGGTTTCTTAGTGCTGAGTGACAGGTCAGTAGAATTAAATTGGTCAGGAATCTCAGTTGCTATGTTCCATGCAGGCTTTTAGTTTGGCCAGGAATTAATAGAGGAGATGCCACCCTGACAACATTCACTTGTCTGAATCTGAACACCATTGCTACAGAAGGACACAGCACCGAGCTAACCTCACTATGCAAAGAGAAGCTCCAAAATTCACTCTTTAAATCAGCTTATATCTCCTGCAGCCTGAAGAACGGCAGGAGGTATGTATTGTAGACTAGCATCCAACTCTTAAATATATTCAATATCCTGTAGCTTGAATATTTATCCAGACTTTGTCCACAGTACTACAGCTTCCTGGCTCTAGAAATAATTTAAGCAACCTTACAGTTATTCCTGCAAGCTAGTGTTGGACTGGAAGACAGATACGAAGAAGGAAGAAGTTTAAATTGAACTGAATAGATATTCTATTTATTTTCAAATACGAACGTGGTCAATACTGATTTTCAGTTTAAATATTAATCTTCCCAGCAGTATGTGCAAGGGTATTACACCTCTCATCTGCGTTCAGAATAAGATGTTTTTGTCTGCCAGTTCTTCTAGTACTTTGGCCTCTGTAATACCAAGTAATGCCCTCTCAAATTACACATTCTGCTACTAGAAAATTATGACATAGATGCTGTCATTGAAACCTGAGGGGGATGATTTCTACAAGTAGAGTGAGGCTGTCACCATGTACAAGCTACTCAGGCTGCACGGGGTTCTTAGCAATCTGATCAAGCTGCATATGTCCCTGTTCATTCCAGTTGGACTAGATGACATTTAAGAGTTGCTTCCAACTCAAACAATTCTGTGATTCTATGACATATTCTTAAGAAATTATGTGTGTACATGTGGTTTAAATGGCCTTTTTTTTTTTTTCCAGATCAGGCTTAATGCTGCATGTGAATTAAAGCAATCTTCATTTTTTAAGAAGCTTTTGAGTTCTTTGAAAGTAGATGGATTTACAAATCCAGAGCTGGAACAAAATTAATTGTGAACCTTAAAAGAGAGACTACGCTTCCAAAACATGAGGACAAGTATGACCTTACTGTAAAACTATGTGCTTTAGCCTCTGGGTAAAAGTGGTGCATGAGAGGTTTATTTATGTTTAGGTGTGTAAATAAACAGTAAGCCTTTGGCTACTCTTCTAATATTTCAAATGGAGTCTGCCAGCAGTCTTTTATTTCTGTTATGGCTTCAGGACATTAAGACCACGGAAACACAGCTAAATTAAATGTTGCAAATGCAGAAGTATTTGTGGCACTTCTTGCTTTCTGAGGGCCTTGATTCAGTTGAACATGTGCTTTATTTAAAGGTAGGGATAGCAGCAGTCTGGATGCTGCCCCTCAGACTAAACTGTTTTTCTTTGTAGTGGTGGCAGAACCAGATCCTTAGTTTTAATTGATCTGATGATTAAACAGGGTAGCCCTGTATTGATCATGACTAACTTCAAAATTATACTGAATGCATTTATACAAATACAGTGGTTTTTTTAAGCTGTAGGAGTAAAACTATTTTGCTCATGGATTGCTTACACAGTAGATTTTAGAGGTAAAATATGCCAGAAAGAACATGAGCCGTGAAGCCAATCAATTGAGGAAAATCATATCCTTTCCCACATGTAACTTCTCCAAATCTCAAGTTTTTCTTACTGTATTACTTAGAAAAGTAATACAAATAATATTGTCAAAACAATAACAGCAAAATTCCCCAGGTAACACCTGAAGTCACAACAGCCAATCACTGAACATTGTTGTTTTCACACCTTCTGTGATCAATTGGTTTTTATACACGGGGAAAAAACTAACCTATACAGATACAATCTATCTCTGCACTTAGCCCAGAAGCAACTTGAATGATTGAAAGAGCCTGTTCTGGAGTGGCAAACATTGTATGTTATACCCTTCATAGCATTCTGCTGTAGTCCAGGTTTAGGCAGAGAGCCATATAAATTCCACATTAATATCCTCCAAAGTTAAATGTGATAACATACAAGCACTCGGATGTTCCAGTAATCACCCTTTTATATAATATTCCACTAATTCGTCAAGGAATTATGAGTTCTGTGCTTTCTTCAAGCTGAGAATGCTTGAACCCATATCTTTCATATGTTATGGAAGTGCTTAGGCCATGAGGTATTTTGGTTAACTTGTTCTCCACCCTTTCTCTTGAAGTACAGCCAGAAATGCTGCATCATGGGCCAGAAGGAGTACAGCCAAGAAGAAACCTGGCTCTAGCTTAAGGTTCAGGCATTTCATTAGAAAAGGAAGAAAAAAAGACAGGGATGCCAGCACTCTCCCCTTGTACGTGTGCACACTATATAACTATTAAAACAGTACTAAGAGTAGGGTAAAGGCCCTGAAGTCCATTATTAAGAACTCAGCTGAGAAGATAGCTAAATATGTACCCTAGTTTTGTGCTTGTAATAGCTCTGTGAAATACAGTTTCAATAAGTCTTCAGAAGTTCTTTCTCAGGTCTATAGGTAATATTGTAAATTGCAAATATTGTAGCATTTGTTTTTTTTCCTGTTTTCTTTTAGTTACCAACTGGTTCCTGTTAAGAGCTTTTGAACATGTTACCGAATGTTTGGTTGCCAATCAAATCACCACCTGCTAGCTATTGCACACTTGGAAGACAGTTTATTCAGGCTATTTTTTAAGGAAATACAGCACCCCACTTAATACCCAATACACTACATATAGTTTCATATCTGGGTATGTTTTGCTTTTTGACATACATAAATTCCATGAAATCACTGTTTACATAAAGTGTTCCCTTTCAGGCAATTAGGCAAGCTATTAACATCGTACCCTAAGAACACCGCTTTATAGTGCTGCAGGCCTCACTCACTTGCCTTCCTCAGAGAAGCATAAGCCTTATTTCATCTACAAGAATGGACATTTACATAGTCTGTATTTAAATGTTTATGTACATATACATACAGTCATAGAATTGGTCAGGTTGGAAAAGACCTTAAAAATCAAGTCCAACTGCAGCCTACTTATACTAACTACTCTAACAGCTCGTACCCCTGAGCACCATATCCAAACAGTTTTTAAATGTACATGTATATACAGGAAATTCTTCTATTCACAACCAACCAACATTCCCACTTAATAGTAACGAATTAGACCCTTTGAGAATATTGGTCTATATGGAAGAAGTTTAATCCTCTCTGAAGTACAGAATACCCTATTGAATCTCCTTTAGCTTTGCTGCATATGCAATTAGTAATTTGAGATTCAGAAAACAGAAACAAAGAAGAGGAAGCTCAACAAACAATTCTGCTTGAGAAACAGAAAAATAAATTGTCCCTAAGGTTTTACATGAAAGACAGTGGAAAATCTTGACCTTTCTGCGGTCAGGATTATGTTTAGACCATACTATATATGATATGATCTCTTAGTGGGGCATCTTTTCAAGGGTCAGCTGCTCACAAAGAAGGTTAACATTTACTGGCATGTACAAAACGGGCACTGCAAAATCTCAGTCAACTGGAAACCCTCGTCAGTTGGATGCCTAATTAGATTACTTCAGCTTAATTACATATTGTATTTAATAACAATTTAACAGAGGCTAACTAATATACTTCAAGTGTCTTGGTCTCAAAATGATACTTAGCCCAAAATAGTCTATATGTCTTACAAACCAGTTTAAATGTTGCTCAGTTTCCACAAAATATTATTTTTACTGTATTAGACCTAATCTCATTTGTGAAATATGTCAACTATTTATTTCAATTTTTGAACAAAATTGTTACATCACAGCATGTTTAACATAGCATGTTACATCATAACAGTTCAAAACAATGATGGCTGATGTTTTAAGTATTTTTTCACCTGTGTAGTAAAATCAGGGGAAAACATGCTTAAGATACCTTGAAAACTACAGCCTTCCTGCTCAGACCTGGTTTGGCATTGGGTTCAGGAACAGCAGACAGATCTTCTGGACTATTTTCAAACCAAGCTGAGGAAAACAAACAAAAACAAGAATACTAAAAGAAAGAACTAAATGCATTTAAGGTGTATAATTAATTTCTATAAGAGTTGCTCTTTTCAACTGTGTTAAAATAGAGTTCTTCTCAGCTCATGTATGAGCTCTTCCCAGAACGTTGCTACGTTACTCTGGAGTGGCCTGAAGAACATAATGTGTATAACAGCCTCCTGATTTGCTCTGTGTTTTGCCACTTATACATATGTAATTATTCACAATAGAAGCTCTATTACCTGTGTTGGGTAAAGCGATGCTTGACAGAGGTCTCTGCCACGCATTTTCTGGGATTTTGGCACAAATGGAAGCAATGGAGATAGGTGGATCTCTGAACCTGTACTTCTGAGATGTTCCTCAGACCATCAGGGAACAGTGGGCAACTGCAGGGAAGAACAGGCCTTTGCAGTTATCACACAAGATAGTAGAGAGGTCTCATACTGAGAAAAGTATGTGTAAATTTTTATGTTATATTCAATTGACTAATATTACAGAGAAAGACTCTTCCATTATTTCCATTTAAAATTAAATAAAATTTACTTACTCTGTGAAAGCATGCACAATAACAAATTAAATGTAACAGTGTGAGAAAAGGAATCCACCTAATTCTCATGGAACTCTTCGATTTCTCCCCTTCTCATTTCTTGCTTGCTCAATTCATTTTTATTCCTTGGAAAATTCCTTATAACATGGCTCTGAATCTGATCAATGTATTCGAATAACTGGAAATAACAGAAAAAGACTGAAAGTGATTGCTTGACTAAAAGGTCTTTACTACCCTTGCCCAGGTATCTTGCCTTCAGCCCACCCTAATTCAATTAGGAGAACTAGCTGGAATGTTTCAGATTACTGCAATTGTTTCAGCAGACAGGGAGAAAGATATAAGAACTAAACTAGGTGAGACTTATCTACAGTAACTCAGTTTCATGTTCTAAAATAACTCTGTTACCTATACCACAATGTAGTGGTGATAGCTATGTTGGAAATGGCATTTATAAAGCATCTTTGACCACTTCACCTGAACTTAGATCACACAGAATCACACAGAATTGGCAGGGTTGGAAGGGACCTCAAGGATCATG